CGCATTCTTGTGTTTACAAAACGTATGACTTTATATTATATTCATGATTTGGGGAATTAATATCAACATTAATGGGATGTGAATAGGTGGAAAAAAATAGAGTACTTTTATTTAATATACTTATTGGTTTTTGCTAACACCACAATATTTTGTTTGACATTGTGATGTAATTTTTGATTACCTAATAATAACAACAGCTTGAAAAGATTCTTTTAGCTTTTGAATAATATTTGATATGGCTAATGAACAATTTTTAATTTTTCTCAATTTACAGAAAATATATAATTTAAACTTTTTGCATAGCTATGATCTGTTTGATTAAGTACCTATTAATAATAGATCTATACAATAAGGACATACAACATTTTTGCACATATCTATGACAATATAATCAAGTATTTTTTTATTATATTCTACTAACTGTACACCTATAAGAAGATCTAAATAATTTTCAATTTCCATTTTATCTAAATTGTTATCAGATTTTATAAAACATATTTTCTCAGATCTAAAACATTCACTACTCGTTAGCAATGTAGGTATCGACAGACAGAACGTGATTTTTGAGTAGGTATTGGCGTTTATTACGAGTACATCAAATTAAATTATCATGAGAATTAGTAGTTCATAGAATTCAATTTTGATAAACAAACAGGTACTTACATGACATAATACTGTATTGAATGGTTTGATATTTTAATTTATTTTGTACCTCTGTACTTGTTTAAAATATAATACATTTGTAGTTTAATTATGTTGGAAACTTTTAGGCACTTTTAGATACCTACTGTTACACCAAGTTGAACAAATGACACATGGCCCAAGATCATGAATAATGTGTAATAAATTGTGTTAAATATTCAATAAGAGTATAGGTAATACTTATTTATTTGTTGTGCATAAGAACAGTAATTTTAGGTATGTCAGTTCGTATTATGCGATAATGCAAATCTGTGGAAAAGTCTATTATTAGTGTACCTATATAGTTAATTTAAAAACACCAATTGTATTGGAAAGCTAACTTTTGGATATTAAAGAGATCATAAATCCCTACGGATGATTGTTCCAAATCTTTGCCACAGTTGAGACAGCTTAATTTGATCATTAACATCTGGATTAGTAAATTAGACTTAAAAATGTTTAAAAAAATTATTTCTATACCAAACAATAATTTGATAAAAATACTGTCAATGTTTAATTCTGAGTTTTCATGTAGGTTTGCACAATATTAGCTATACAATTGTAATTTTATTTTATTCATAGCTCCTTTTAATAACTATTTCATCACAATTTGATATTGTGATATAGATACATAATATATGTAGGTAGGTACCAGATATATAATTATATATATATATAGGTACCTAAGTACTTACCTGTAATAAATTAATTTCATTATTAATTATAGGTACTTAAGTTTATATCAATGATTATAGAATATAAATTCTATAATCAATGGTTTGTATTCATTAAACAATTAAACCATTTTGAAAGTAAATATTTTATATTAATTATTAAATAATTATATAATATGACATGGAAATTGTTATTTGTATGAGAATATGTATGACATTAAGGAGTTATTTTTGTAAACAATTTCTACCAAATTAAATCGAAAAACTTCTTTCTTCTTACTCCAATGTATCTAAGGCTTTCAGTATTTATTTAAGGTAACTGTTATTTAGAAATTGAATAATATTAATGTTATTTTTAGACAAATAGGTAACTATTTGTATAGTAGCCTAGTAGACATGATTGTTTCTTATTTTTTTTCAAAACCCATTACAAATCAATACCTACATATTTTGTATACCTACATTTATTAATTTATTATTATTTTTTTTTTCAATTAAATTTGTGAAAACTGACTTGTACACCATGAAACAATAACTGTTATTGAATTATTTGATGATTACTTATTCATTCAATTTTTAATAAGGTAAAATAATTATGAACAGTGATTAATTTATTCATTGAATATTGACCTGTAATTAATTATTTATGAAAAAAAGATACCATTCTGAAAAACATTGATTTCGTAATAAAGAAAACTAAGTAAATGGTTTTATTATAAATATAAAAGTAAATTAATAACTATAATATAATCTATTAATTACATTATAATATTATACAAAACTAAAGGAAGTTCACAAACATGATTTAAGATTACAATAACAAATATTATCAATTTTCTCAAATAAATATTATTATAACTCTTCTTGGAACAAAATTCAAGTCATGTATGAAACAAATAAATTTAATTAGGTTTATAAAATGTTCACTAAACCAATTTAAAGTTGTGATTTGTAGATTCATAAACTGGTGTAATAGATATTAGGACATATTTGAACATACTAACTAGACAGTATTGATAAAATGTAATAATATAGGTACAATCCAGGTGGATTAATCTACCTTGGGTTCAATGTAACAATAAAAAAAAATGTAATAAGTATTGTTATAGTTTATATCAAGTGATTAGGTATTTTGATTGATTGTGTGATAGTAGAATTGCTCATAAGTTTCGGCTGTGTCTGTTCCTAGAGGCATAGACAATTGTCTTTATTTTGATGTTCAATTTTTTATTCAATTTACTGCATTTTTCATAATAGTCATTTATTTGTTATTCAAAAGATGGTCATAAATCCTAATCCATCATGATTAAATTACCGAAGTTTAATAAAGAAAATTGGAATAATAACAAAAATACTAAAGGCAGTCACGAATTGTTACTTCAACAATTAACTTATTGAAATATAATTTATAGCATTTTTTTGCAGACTTAAAATTTTTTATTAGTGCACTAAAGTTTAAGATTAACTTATTGGAGTGGGTATACCTATCACATTAATCGTGTTTTAGTTTACAAAGTACTTTTCATACTATTGGTTAATATATTTTAAGGCGTTGGGTAGGCAACTTATTAGACAATTAAAAGTACATATCAGGAGTTATATAGGCGACATTTAGTAAAAAATTTGGTAACCACTGAGCTTTCTTATCAAATATTGCTAGCGGAAGGTACATATTATTAATTAAACTATAAAACAAAACTGTAAAAATATAGAACATTTATTAAACTTAAATTAATTCAAGGTTATAAATAATTTAGAAATTGTGAATGAAAAACATTGTATAGCTCGATTCCATATAATTAAGAATCTTTTTTATGCGGGCATGTTTTATTAAAAATTGTAATATACCGATTGTAATTTTATTATTAGGCAAATAAGTACCTACATTAATCAATGCGATACAGATATTGGTAGATTTGACTGAAAGTGCATATATAGAAAAATTCAGATTGATCAAAGTCCTTGCAAATTTAATAATAGATGAATTGCTTTTTTATCTTGAATCACCATCTATAAGAAATCAATATCTACCTACAATAAATAAATAAATAATTACAATAAATCGTTAATCGTCGCATACAGATTTACATTGAATTTCCCCTCTACTACATTTCCAACTTCTTATTTACAACAGTGGCCTACCCACGTGCGAAGTATATCCGTCTTTCTAATAAATATGTACAATATTTCCATGGTATTAGATAATTGAAATTATATTAGGTAAGAGTAAGTATTACAACAATTTTTATTTTCAGGATCTAAAATACATACTTTAGTTTCCCAAAACACAAATAATAAGGTTCATTGATAAATATGAAATCCCAGGAATTATTGATATTATAGATTGCACTCATGTTGCAATAGTATCTCCAAAATTAAATGGACCTTATTCGGAATATACAATTGTTTTTTAATAAGATGAATTATCATTCTATAAATGTACAACTGGTAAAATTAAAAATATCAAACAAAATCGTCACCCACATATGATTAATAAAAAATATTTTTGATAGATTTACAAAGTATTAGTATTTTTTCTTTTCAATTTTTTTTTGTAACTAACTGATTTTTGGTATGCTTTTTGAGTCCATGAAACCATTAAATAATTCAAACGTTATAATAAATGGTTAACTCAGACTAAGTCATTAATTGAACGTACTAATGGATTGCTCAAATTTTTGAATTACTTCTAAAATAGGACGCTTTTGATTGCGTTTTACGTCCAAATACCATTTGTTTACTCTTAGCCCCTGTCATTATCATGAGCTGATTTACCACGATTTGATTGCAAATCCCGAATCTGTTTTTTTTCACCGACATTTTCGTTCAAATCAGAAAATGGTGACAGACTTGTAAGTATTATTAAATTAATTTCTAATTAGGACACTTTTACCTACCCCAAGCGCCTGCTATTTTTAAGTTGGCTTTTTATCGTACATTTTTGTTAATTTAGTGCCTATTTAACGCCTAAATAGCCGTTTTTCTTTTTTAAGAACCACTGAGTAATTTTATCATTTATTGGTAGTGGAAAATATTCTGAATGTACGTTAGGTTTAGATACCAACACGAGGATCTTATATCATCTTGGCGAATCGGCTGTCGCCACGACACACGCGGCTCCCCTCATCATACCATTTTCATTGTGCGCGAATTATTGTTATCACTACAAATTTGTTACAACTTAACTATATTATATTATTATTAGCTAAAAACCAATGTATAAATTTTAAAGTAATGTAATGTAATTGACAATTGTAATTAAAAACTAATAGGGTACTTACCTATTAGGTACCCAGTGTTGATCATTAAATATTTAAATAGAGTTTTAAGTTTTTAAAGTAATATTTTTTAGTATTTCTAGTAATATGAATGATAAAATATATATTTTATCATATTAAGAACATTTATAATCTCATAATTTTCATATTTATGTCCCCAAATAATCGTATATATTTCATTTACAGAAGACTTTGCAATAAATGTTTAGCTGGATTCTTCGTTGTTGAATAAAGCTGATGTTGTGGATCTATTTCCCTTTGAACATTACCGTCTTTAATTGTTTTTAAGTGCGTTTGTCTTCTTTCATTAATAATTATTATAATTTTTGCTAATTTTTTGCAAGATTTTCTTACTATATTTATTTGTTGAACTAAGACCCAAAATTATTTCTCTTTGATTTATGATTTTTATGAGTTTTATGATGACTAGAAGTTATACCCATGTCCATCAACAATTTTTGCTCTGTTATATTTGTGTCATGAAAAACATTGTTTTCAGCATTGTTATCTGAACTTATGAACTCACGAGCACAAGTATGTACATGCTTACAAATATTTGTTTTAATAATATCAATGCAAGAGCAATGAAAACTGATAATGAAAACATTACACTTTTTGCATTTCAGACCTGACAAATGTGTACATGTTTTATCAGTTTTTATAATATAGTGCTGTTGTGAAGGATTGGATAATGATTTGATAATATATACTTTTTGTTTTCCATTTAAAACAATGTTTTAATTGATTTACTGGATTTATGAGTTTGACATACTCTTTGAAATTTTCAGTAAGGATATTTTTTGACAATTTAATCAAACGTTTATATAGCTAGCCTATCTCTGGAGTATTTTATAAGAGCATAAATTGTTTTGTCCAAACATTTTACTTTTTTAACTTCAAGATATATGTGTTTTAATATTTTATGAAACGTTTCCAAGTACATTTTTGTATTAATCCCTAGTCTTAGTAATAAGCTTAACATTCTAGCTGTTTTGAGTAATATTTTTCAAAATATCCTCCAAATATACTGATGTCATCTTTTTTAAAATCTCTTATGACATTTTGAAGATTATTATTAAATTCTTCAATGGATGTTCCTTGTAAGAATATTTTCAATGTTTTATTGATAAGAGATAGCAACCCACTTATTATAAATGCAGAAGCATTATCTATGATAAAAACTACAGTCCATAACTCCTACATTAAATTTGATTTTTTCAACCTGAAAAAATAGCTCATCGGATCGATTTGATAAACAAAATGCAACTGGGCAATTGGAATCAAATTTGTCGACAGTGACAACAGAGTATACAACTGAATATCATGCATTTGTTCCATGAGCACCATTCACACAAATTTTATCACAACTAAATTTTTGTAGAGTTTCTTGTTGGAAATTTGTCATTAAAATTAATGCAAAATCATGCTTACCTAAGATTCCTTTCTCTCTGATCCAATTATTCTCATCTTGACCTTGGTAATATACAACTGGACATTGTGTTTTTCATTTCTTCTATCCATAATTTTATACTAATCACATCGTTTTTTTGTTTAGTAGAGTAGTCAATGTTGAAATCATGTGAAATATTGTGTAAATTTTACGTTCTAAAAGAAGAGATCATTGATAAGTGTCATCAGTTATTTCAGCATCACGGATTGAGTCTATGATATGTTCAAAGACTTCTTTCAATTTTGCTAGAAAAAAAAAATTAAAATTTTTAAAATTCCAAGTAAATTGATAAAAGGTAAAAACTATAATTTATAAAATATACCTGCAATATTTAACTTTGTGTCTTTATCTAGTCCAATTCATTCATCCAATTTCTTGTTCATGGCCATAATAGGTTTCCCAAAATTTAATTTGAACTGTCTCTACAATCTGTAATTGTAAGTTTGATCATAGATGGACATGTTCAATCTATTTTATTAGTTCCTATAGATTTTGTCTCTTTGCTTTTTCAATTCATTTTTGGTTTTTCCATTGTTAAACTCTATGACAATAATAATATTGCTTTATACAGCCATTAATTAATTTTGTTGCTGCTCTATCAATTATAAATGTTGAAAATATTTTTCCTCCATCTCCATTTTCCATTTCTCCAATTCTATGTTAATTTAAATGTAATATAAATATGTAATTATGAATCAAAGTAGTTTTATTAATTATTGATAGAATATTATTAATTTATATTTGTTCATAAAAGTATTACCTGCAATAGAACTCATTTCTTTTTCTTCTATCGTAATGTTATGTTTTTCAAACAGGCGAATCCTTAATTTTGAAAATTTAAATAATGGTTCCATCGTACTCGTTATAAGGACAAATAATTTTTGTTTCTTTTTTATCATAACCATTTTTATTTTAATTTTAATATAAGTAGGCATCTAAAGTTCTTTGAACTTTAAATGTTTTTTCACAAACTGTATAAATAAAATTATTTACAGCCAAAGAATCACTGATGTGTATATTCCTTATGTGTGCATACAGATTTTTTTTTGTGTAAAGTTTATATTACAAATTGAATATTTTATTTCAGATGTATTAGATGACATGATGTTGATATGTCAAGATATAAACAAAAATAAAATGCTTAATGAAAATCACAATAAGTAGGTATAAAAATAATATGAAGAGCATAAAAAATGATTAGGTCAGCAACATTGGCTGGAGATTAATAATTTATTTTTAGAATATTTATAACTAGAAAATGTCTTAGTATTATGTATTATTTTTAATTTTGACATTTTCTTAACATTTTTACCTCAAAATTCTCTTTACATCTTCTTAACATTAAAACAGTTGTATAATAAATTATCAATCACTAAAGTGTATATGGATTAAATAATACAAGGAGGGAAAATAGAGGTAATTGAAGATTAATAAGAGAATCTAAATTTAGAAATATTGTTTTACCAATAATTTTTAATATACTAGTATTATCATTAATTTAAGTATTAGTTTTAATTTTAATTAATATAAACTATAAGTAGTTTATGCTTGTGTTTATGAATAAAATAATAATAATAAATTAAAATTATACCTAGTTTTAAATACATGTTTAAAATGTCATAATTAATTATTGTAATAGATTAGTAGTTTAGAATAATAGTTTGAAATTTATAAATTAATGTATGATGATATTTATCATGGATATTAAAATTGAATAATAAAAAAAAAAGGTAAGATAATGGGGATGGGTGCAGCCACTGGTGTAGGTAGAAAGTTGGGAATGTAGGATATAGATGGGAATTTAATGTATATCTGTAAGCAAAAATAAACCACTGTTTATTAAAAAAACGATTCTGAGCGGAGTTCAATCGATAGTGATGCTTTGTCAGTAATATATATGCCATATTATTGTAAAATAATTTAAAAGGCTTTATATATTTTCTTTAATAATATTTGTTTAATGTTGTACTAATTTTCCCAGTTATCCTACGATTTTCCAAGTTTTCCCATGTTTCATATTTTCCACATTTTCTAGGAAAACTCTTGAGAAAATCAAATAATGACCTTTCTAAAGTAACTTCCTAGTGAAATTTTGTGTGGCATAAAAGTTGTCCAAAGAAAAAATAAATTATAAGATTATATTTAGTAAATTTTCTCGTTATTTTTTCGATTTTTCATATTTGATGAGAAAACTTTAGAGAAAATTGAAAAATGACATCTCAACGCCTATTTCCTTTCAGAAAAAGTGTTACACGTAGAATCAGAGCAAAGAAAAGTTGTGCACAAATAAACAAAAAAAATAAATATCTTTGTAAAATTGCAAAACAACTCGGTTCATGTCAAATTTAAGAAAATCTGAATTACCAAGTGTTTTGTTTATACTAATTTATTATAATTATATCACATAGTATAAATTTCTTATTTATTTTAACTAGTTTTAGCCATCAAAATTAAGTAATTTTCATTTGTTTCTATTTTGAACTTTGCCTCTCATTAATTTATTTTGAGTCATGTAGCTACATTATTTTTATTTATAAATTTAAAGGCTAAAGCTAATTAAGTAACTATGTGTATTCATTTTTTTAGAAAAGGTATTATAGTCATTATGAGACCAAAGAAAAATTCAACACTCTGTCCTGAAAATTTTAATAGTAAATCTACAATTGAAAATTAACAAGTATATGATCTGTTAGTACAACAAAACTATTAATTAATTTATTATGTTGCATCATTGGAGTAAGACTGAGACATTTTTGAGTTGTAGCAGTCTTGTTCTAAAAGTGCAATATTTTAAAATATTTATGGTTAATGTTTTTCTTTCTTTATTGTAAAGTGATGAAGATTATGAAAATGTGCAAAGTAAAAATACCAAAGAAATTTTTGATTTTAAATTCATACATATTTATGAAATTATGAGAGCTGATGTTTTGAAATAAAGAAAACCATTAGAAGAAGTAAAAGTTATATTTTTGAAATTCTTTGAAGAGGGTAAAACACCAGAGAAAGAGAAATTCCCAATCCAGAATGGGTACTTATATAATCTTATTATTATATATAAAACTTTTAATAAACACTCCAGTGCGTTATATGGTGTACTAATAATGGATTTGTTGAAAAATACAGTGGATCAATACAATGACAAATGTAATATTCTACTTGTTCTAGGTTTGAGATTTTTGTAGTAGGTTTATTTTTTATATGAATGAGCAGTGAGCACCTTGTTCAAGAAAGTCGTTGGTTACTCGTAGATAAAACATAAATAACATCTGTGAAGCAGGAGTTAAGATTGCAAAAGTTACAATATTTGGAAGAACCAGAGCATATTCTCCAGTAGTTATTTTTAGATTTGGAGGATTGGAATGAATTTATTGGTTTTACTATGATATTGCGTTTTTTTTTAAAACATTTTTTTTCTGTTTGTAAAATAGCAAAAGAAATATTTTTTGTTACACTTAGTTGGTGACCAAGGCAGTTGTTTTTTTAATAATTGAATCAAAATCTAGAATTGAAATTTTGACATAATATACACATTTGCTTATTCTAGATGTGGTAAAATTTTCAAAAAATTTAAGCTAATTTTGAGTTATTTATAAAAGTTTTAATTTTGAGTTTTTTACGTAATTTTTTTTGGCAGGTACTCTATGGATACAATTTTTAGACTAAACAGAAGTGTTAAAAAATTTGATAGGAGGTTCATAATAAGTCGTATTAAGTTGTCAAAAAAAAAAAAAATTTGTGTAATTTAGTATTTTAATTTTTATAAGAGTTTAAAATTGGAAATATTACAATTTTTAAAACATGTGTAACTGACTTCACCCCAAGTCGTTTTTGATAGCGATGGTATATCATTGGTTACAAATATAAATTAAATAACTTTATGTGAACCATCTTCCCAAAAACTCACATACAACAGTGGCTGCATCCATCTCCAATATCAGCTCTTTTTTTTTATTGGCTTGATCAATTTTATAGGACGACATTGTTAGATAAGGCAGCTAATTGCCCTTTACAGTATTTAAAAAAAAAAAATCTTATATCAACTGAATAACCCCAAAGAGAATATTTAGGATCAACAAGTGAAAAATAATTATAAAATCCCACTGAATCAGCTGTTCCCAAACTTTTTTTAATTCTCACATATCTAAAAGTAAAGAAAAAAATCATTGGGTCTCCTATGAAAAAATACCTTTACAAAGGTATTTTTTTTTCTATGAATACATTTTATACCAGAAATTCTTAGAAATACCTAGAAAGGAGTGGTCCATAGGAATAAAGAAGGCTGTAATATTTTTAACTAATACTTAAAATTATTACATTTTTCCGTTTTTCCTTTGTTTTTTTTTTTTTTTTTGGTTTTCACGTTTGATGAGAAAACTCTTGAGAAAATCGAGAAATTTTCTTGGGGAACTTTTCTCACTGATTTTCTTTTAGAAAAGGGTCTACACTTAAAAATCGGGTCAAAATTTCTGGTAGAAAAGTTGTCCACAGAAAAAAAAATAAACATCATTGTAAAACCATAAGTTTATCTATAAAGTAAACCTATAACAGTGGTTTTCAACCTGTGTGTCGCGGCCTTCAGGGGCGTCGTGATTTATTATTAGGAGATCCGCGTATATAGTAAGTATAACACAGGTATACAGTAAATTAGTTTATTTTTTTCGTATTATTAAATACAAAATATTTTTTTAATAAAAATATATAAAGAGTTATGGTGTAGAAGTCTGGGGTGAAACATACAATATTCATCTTGTGTGCTTAGAGATTATATATTGGTTAACCAAAATAATCATGTAAAAGCCTAGGTTGTATTTGACTATTAATTTGTTTTGTAATTTTAGAGTATTAAATTTAAAAGCCCATCTTTAAATTGTTTAATTTATTTTTTTTATTTTTTATCAACACATTCAAATTTAATTTAAATATAAATATGTATAGTCCTTATTCCTGTGAGTAATATTAAAAACAGATGATGATTTGATTATCTTTATGTCTTAGGAGATATTGTAATGGGTATATATCATCGTTAGACACATGTAAATTCATATTGAAATAATGAATATTGTTGGTTTGATAGAGGTGTTTTAGGAGATTCAAAATAGATGTGAAACGGAAATGATAAAAATTACTAAAAATTAATATCTTATGAATGACTGCAATTAGTTTTTTCCAATTATATTGTGATAATTAAATTTTGTATTTACTCACACACTAGTTGTTTATAAAGGTATAGGTAAAATATTTTATAACAAAGATATAAAATATAAATATGACACATACATATGTATATAGCCTGTGTAAATTAAAAATTTGTAATTTATTTATAAATAAATGAAAGTACCTTAAATTAAACAAAAAAACTAAACAATTTAAAATGTCAACAAATGCTAATTTAAATAAATAGTTTCACAATTGAATTTGTTTTTATATCATTTAAATGTCGTGTTATGAAAGTTAGGTACGATATTTCTAGCTCACCACTGCAGAATCATCACTCATTACTATATGTCTATTTGAGAGTATCAAAATTGAAAGTGGCCAAATCATAATAATTTATATAATTAGTTTATTATAGTAGTAAAGTTTATATTTTAACTAAATTCCACGACTTTCCATTGTATTGACGTTGACTTGTGATTTTAGAGAAATTCGACGTATTTCATCATTTTTTTATAGTTGACATCGAAGCACCTGTTTTGAAAAAAATCAATGAATATACTGAACTACTAACTAATACTACTATACTAACTAATATACACAGTACTTGACTTAAGCGATGGATGAATAACTATAATACTTTACTTTCTAATAATATTAGTACCAATTTACTGTAGTGTATATTTTAAATTGCTAAAGAGTTGTAGGTAATATTTAGAGTGTTTAACACACTCCAATGCATATGGCTGGATTTAGGGTTGTGGTTCCGGGGCCCCAACAACAAGATTTCTTAATATTGGTATAAAAATCGATAGTAAAACAAAAAGTCTTAATTCAGCAAAATGCTAATAAAAAAAAAACGATGCATTGTGTCGCCTCTTTTAACTTGCAGCCTGGAGCTATAGCTCTGGGCCACAGCCCGCACGTAGAATTTTTCGACATTTTTCGTTCAAATTTCGATTAAAATACTTCAACATTTTCAAACCATCTGGTTGACAAATTGCGTTAAAATATATAAGTGGGTATATATAAATCTACTGTTTTCGACTAACATTTTGTTCAGTGATGAGTCTCATTTTTGGCTTAATGGTTACGTCAATAAGCAAAATTATTTGGGCTGCAGAGCAACCCGAAGAGGTTCAAGAGCTGCCATTACATCCAGAAAAAAAGCCTTTTTTTGGTGTGGTTTATGGGCTGGTATCATCGGTTCATATTTTTTAAAAAATGAGGTCGGGTAGAACGTAACTGTGCGTAACAAGATGGTACTACATGTCTTACAGCTCGTGAAACCCTGGCTTTATTTCGAGAACAATTCGGTGAACAATTGATTTCACGATTAGGACCGATTAGTTGGCCAGCTAGATCATGCGATATCACATCTCTCGACTTTTTTCTTTGGGGCTACGTGAAGTCAAAAGTCTATATAACCAAGTCGACTACGATAGATGAATTGGAAGCCAACATCAAACACGTCATTGGCTAAATATCATTCGAAATGCTTAGACGGGTCATTGAAAATTGGAACTTCCGAATGGATCATGTTAGGCGAAGTTACGGCCAACATTTAAAAGATATAATATTTAAAAAATAAATGTAAATAATAGTTTTTTTTATAATAATAAAGTTTACCTAATAAAATTGAATTTTTTTATTGTTTTTTAATTCCTGAAAAAAGTACCTCTAAATGAATCAATCTTTACATTTACCATTACATTATTATTATACTATAATCTAAATGTAATAAATTGTATATAATTAACTAACAGGTTTTTGCTTACCAGTTAGATTTTAATATAAACCTCTTATTTACCAGAACCTTTTACTGATATGAGCCCTGGGGCTCCCACAACCCTAAATCCGCCACTGATTTTAGTTTTTTATGTACTGGGAAAATCAAAAATAATTAATAATAAATTATAGGTACTGTGTTATGACTAATTCAATGTATGTACATTTATGATAAATATATTATATGGCATGTGTCGTGTGTTTATAATACATTTGTATGTTCTACAAGAGTTTAACCACTTACTAGACTTCCGAGCAGGAATAATAGACGGAGGATCTAAATTCACTACAGAATACGAACTATTCCTGTTTACATTCGAATAGCTGTAATTTAACATTTATTACAAATATTACTATTTTATATTTAAACGAACTCTATCATACGTTAACATTTTAATTAGTTCGAACCTTTTCATACTGGCATTGGAGCCAATTGAGGTTACATCTGTACTCAAATTGTTATTCAATTTTACTTGGTTCATTATTAGACTGGATACAGGAGGCAGCTCCAAATTCTTTTCAGACAAATATTGCTTGATAGTGGGTTCTACTTCAATATTCCGCACAGACATTTCTGACAACTGATCCAAAACAGATTTGTTCACTCTTTTCATCATTCTAACCATGATATCCCGCTGTAAAAACACTCAAGTCATAAAATATGAATATATTATTTTAACATTAAGAGCATAATATAAATAAAAATATAATTTTTAATTTTGATTGATCTCAACCTTATATTATATTTCTGATTTACTAATTAGTTTAATAAGTTTAGAGCAGCATTAAGTTTAGCATTTAGAGTATAATAATAATAATTTATAATTAAAAACGTATAGGTACCTAGTAATTTACTTATATGTTGATAGGTAATATACTAATATACTATAGTCTATACAAAATAAAATTAGATATTTAAAAAAATAAATATATATATATACCTTTTTTAAATCGATTGCACTTTGGTTATCCAGATCATAACTTTTGTCTATTTGTTTTTCCACAAACTGTATACGACTATTCGCTCGGTTTAATTTTACCATTTGCTCATCGATCTCACTGAGGGCATGCTCAAGTTCACTAGTTTTGATATCACGAAGGTTATTTAAATTATCTAAGTCTTCGAGTTTTATCTTATATTGGTTTTCCAGAATCTACAATAGTTTTCATTAATATATTTAGGTACTGTTGTAAACATTAAGTCTACTACCTAATTAGTGAAAAAACGGTTCAGGGATGTAATTTAGGAAAGGGGTATAGGGTATGCATTTGCACCAATTATTTTGTAAAATACCTTCTTTGGTTAGCTATGGAAGCTATATGAAAGCTTTATGAAAGCTCTGATAAATTTTAAATTTGAGTAGGTATAATCAGGACCGGATCTTAACATTTTAACACTCGGGAAAAATGAAAAAGTTATGCTTATTTCAAAGAAACAATCAGTTAGTATTTTTTTTATCAATGTACTTTATGTTAGTTAGGTATTTTAAATATTGAAGTGATAAAATAAAAATTTATTTGTCAAATAAATGTAAATCTGTAGTAAATATTTTATGGAAGGTAAAATTTACTTTTAAGTAGCAAATGGAATTGTAAAAAACATAGGTAATTGCTTAAGATTTTTAACTCGATAAACTATAAGGAATATATAGAGTTACTTCTAGAAAACTGTAGTCTACTATAAATGATAATTTATCAAACTTCTGGAAAAAATTTTAATAAAAGATAATTAATTTTTGTACTCAACTATAAACAATTATTTATTAATTATTAATTAACAACCCAATCAATGGCGGCACGTGAACTACGTGAGTCTATATAAAACGCAAAGTATAAGTAACGTAAATGTAAACTTTAAATCTTATACAGTTAAACTTATAAATATATTTACTATATTATACTATATTAGTTATAGTATTAATATTAAAATATTTTAACGGTTTAAATTTATTTATGTATGATATACGAGTATTATTATTAATTTTCTAGTCTATATGAAAACATAAAAATAAAAAAAACATATATTGTATATTAGTTATTTACATAGTTGATCTCTGAACTTCATATTGTGCACATGCAACAAAATAATAATATATATTTAGATATTTATGATATTTTTGGGTTGTTTTTTCCGTTTTTTATTTTAGCAGTTTTATAAAAAATGTACGCGTTGACCGGTGTCGTTTTTGAGTAGGTCTACTCAAAATTTTTCCTGTTAAGGCAGTTTGTGTGAGCTCTGTTAAAAACACGGCCGCCGAGTATTTTATGTTATTTCATTGGGAAAACGTAAATTTATTCTAATTTTTATCGGCACTAAGGTCGTACGACCGTGCTATATTGTGCCAACCAGTGACTATCTTATTGGCTATTAGACCCACGTCTCGCCGCACTCACCATATATATCGCGTGTGCCGAAACTCTTCACACTTTATCGGTCTCATATACACCGTGTGCACCGTATTTTTTCAATACGGCACCCAAACCTATTACTCCTAGTAATACTACTACTTCTTCAACTAAAATTGTCACAAGGGTTAATTCTTCTGCACTCTCTTCCAATAGTAACATAATGGCTGCTCTTGAAACTTTTTGTAATGCATTTTTATCTACGAATAAAAGTATTTCGTGTACTCAAACTTCTCATTTCAAAGATTTTAATAGTGACCTAAAGCTACTATCTGCGCAAATAATTTAGTTATAGGTTGAAAAGACTAACATACGCAGTGAATTAGAAATTCTTAAATGCAAAGTTATATTATTAGAGGTTGCTGGTTCACCTAACCACAGTTCTCATGTAGTCACTCAGGTATTACAGGAAAGCTTTGAGCGTGAAAGGTACTCATTAAATGCATTTGCGTACGGTATACCTGAGTCCTCGTCGTCGTCAACCCAACGGATATCTGACGACAGTTCTGCCCTTCGCACTTTGCTTGAACCTCATAGTATTCATAATCCTGATAATTCAAAAATCATACGTCTTAGTAAAGTTTATCCTGACAAAACTCGTCCATTCAAGCTTTTGTGTGGAAGCAAAGAGTTTGCTAGTAAATTCGTTTCTGACTTCTGAAGCTTTGGTGTAAAATGGGGCTCAATTTCCTGCTGGTTTTCGTGTAGTCAATGATAACACGTTGCTTCAACGTAATTTCCTACGGTCCTGTCATGCTGAGCTTGATAATCGGATACCCTTGTATATATTTATATGTATATGTTTTTTGTAACCAAAATGGAATTTGATTTGAATTTAAAACAATTTTTGAGAAAGGTAAAAATTCAACAATAATATGGGATAAAAAATAATTTTTGTATAATATAAGAACATTAATAAAAATATAAACATAATTAACGTTTAACGAAAAATTGGTTGAATCATTTGCACATGTACATTTAAATAAATCATATAATATACCATGTGGAATATTATTTATTTATTAAAAAAAAATGTATTTATAATGTATAACATACATCAATGAATATAAGAAAAGAAGTATTAATTGAAATCAGAAGGAACAGATCAGACTTTCTGTCTAAACCATTTCATACCCTAAAGGGAACATCCAGGAATTTCAAGAACAACCTCGATCAATTCAAATTTAACCGTCAATCATAATATTAAAAATCTGTTATTTTAAATTTGTTTCAAACATGTTTGGTATATCATTATTATTTGTTTCCATCCCATCCCGCTTTTCTTAAATGAATATAACTTTTTTGTTATTTTTCTTTCGAAAGATTTTTAGGTACCTATTTTTATCATTTATATCAATATGAGTATGTATTTAATACAAAATAATATCAGTTGTTGCTGTCCAAGGTTAAGAAATATTCATGAATGGTAGTGCCCTCCGAATAGAACAGTTATTATAATAGTATATTATGCAATATATATTTATAAGAAAAACACATTATAGACGAATATTGATTGAATATGCCTTGCATATATGGTTATATTAAATATATATAAATTATAATCGAAAATATAATAATAAAAGGAAAAAACTCAAGAGAACATTAGACAAAAAAAAATATGTATATACTATTTTATAATTGTAATTTTTTTTTTTATATATTGTAAGTATAGGTTTGTTTATTCAATAATAATAATAAAAAAATCCCAAATTCCAGACTTTTCTTTGTAAAATAGATAATTATCATGAACAAAAATGTTATTTGGGTATTAATAATTGTTTTGTCTGTAAAATAGATAAAAAAAAAGATATATATGTTCAAATTGAAAATTGTTAAAATTAAAATTATTATTTGTTGAATTCATTAGTTGTGAAATCGAAAGATTAAAGAGATTAGAAAAGAAAAAATTGTGAAACTAAAAATTGGGATAGAATTTTTTAGTGTATTTTCATCTTTTTTGTTGTACCTACTAAATTTTCTTTATAAAATAGATATCTACCATAAACAAAATATTAGGTACCTATTAATAATTGTTTTGTTTGTAAAATGGATAAAAAAAGATTTATTTTTTCCCTTTTTGATGTACTAAATTACCAATGTACTGTAATATTTTATTACTATTTTTCCCCTAATATTTAGTTATAAGATAGTTTTTTTAATAAATTAAAATATGAAGACATAATTTGTTTAGATAAAGGACTGTTGTATATGCGGAGTGTCAATGACACATTGTACAATGGTAATACTGTTTGTCAGCATATCCTTATTAAAGGGATATACGACAGTGATACCATTGATAATCAGAATTAACGATTAAAAAATAATTAAATCGGATTTGGTGCTGCCCAGTAATATCAATAGGTACTCACTCGAATTTCATTTTCCAAATTTTCGATTGTTTTCTTTTTCTGTAAGCACACGTTGCTAAGATTATCGTATGTCTCTTCTAGAACGGCAGTGTCCTTTTGTTCATCTGCAATATACATGCTTGCCAATTTTTTATTTTAAAGTTATTTTGTACGGTATTAGACGTGGACCCGGGAGGGGGGCGGGTTGATGGGCCAGCTGATTTTTCTCATTATTTATTTATTTATTAATATTGATACGGGTGGAGCCCAGAGTATAGAATGAAAGAGAGAGAGAAAAAAAGACACAAATGATAAAATATTTTAAAATTAATTTTAATTAGCTAGCAGTGATTCAATTAGATAGAGTGATGGTTGGATAGAGTATTGGCTAAACGCATTAAACAGCCAAGAGTATGATTGTGACAATAATTCGTAGTACGCCTGAGTATTTTATAGGGGACGAGGGAGCGAGTGGAGCGTTGAAGAACTCGAAAATTAATATAGGAAAGGAGTGACGGAATATCAAATGAGTCATTCATAAGCTTAGCCAAGAAATGTAGATTTGTATCAGCACGTCTATCAGCTATGTTTGACAATACTAACTCCAGGAGAACAGGGGAGAACTCGTAAATGGGGAGGGGGATATTCAAAGCAAAACCAGCGAAGGACAGAAAGCGTCTTTGAACTTGAGTATGGGACGAATAATAGTGCAGTACACGGTCTTGAGAGAAGAAGAGAGTTTAAACTCAGAAGATACACGCTTAAGAGATCCTAAATTTTGTAAAGCTTTGCAATTAATTGACTAAATATGTGCATGTTAATTGAGATTCGATGTTAGGATTATACTTAGGTCTTTTTTGCTACGAACGCACGATAAAATAGAGCCATTTAATGTATAGTTGTAGGTGAAAAATGAACTATAAAAAATGACATAGACTGGCATTTAGCAACATTAAGATGTAGCTCGAAGGAGGTAAACCACGTAACTATCAAAGGCTATTATTGGGTAGACTTTATTTTGACACGAATACAATTTTGTTTAAACAATATTTTTACCATATCTACCAAAACAATGAAGTACATGCATTCTCGAGAAAACCACATTTTCAGGAAACCTATCAGAGAGACAAGACTTTTAAAATGTTTTTTCACACATTTGTATATAAAAATGCTATGCTAATTATAATGTTTAGCAACTGAACCCCACCTTCTAGCAAAAAAAATTCTTTTACACAAATATCTACTCAATAAAAATAAAGTGAACCAAAGTCTGGTTGTGTATACATAATTAGACCGGATTGGATTATAATCAGGATAATAATCCAATAGGTATTAACGAATTTAATTTTAATAAAACTAATTCGAGTTTTTAAATACTTCAATACCAATAATTAAAGCGTCCCTCGGACTTCAAAGTCAAGTCTAACGGGGATGGATAATTGTACCTTAAGTAAGAAGGTGCCTTATTACTCTCCTCCACCATATCAATAATAATACATATATTATTGCGTATTCGTGATTCTTTTACGTATTTATTTTTTTTGGGGGGGAGGGAGGTTTTAAAGACACTTATAAATATAATTTATATTATAAATAATGTGGGTTATCCATCAATTGACTGACAATTTACCAATTAAATTAACTAAATTAATTATTGGTTAATAAATTAACCATTAAAATGCAATAAATACAAATTCACTGTTTTTATTTAAGTCTGTAAAATGCAGGTCTGGATTAGTCAGCCGAGCATTCGAGAAAATCTCAAAAGACCGCTTTAAGTTTGGTTTAAAATGCCGCAATGTGTTAATTCCCTGGAGAAGTTCCTTGGACTCTATAGCCATTAAATAATTCCTAGGAATCCTTGTGTTATTAGGCAAGCTCCTGGCTCTTTACCACATATATAATAGGATAATACGTATTGGCCCACTAATATATGGGCCTATATAACAAATTATGAGCTAGTAGAAAAATATTTCTCGAAGGGCCGAGACTACCTAATCCAGCCCTGGTAAAATGTATTTATGTTTTGTATTAAAATATGACATAAATTAAGTAAATCGCAAGTGAAGCAAAATTGCTCGATTTTGGATTTAATATATGGTTTTTTACACAAGTGGCCTCTATTAAGCTTGGTTGACGTACATGGGGGTCAATTGGGGAAGTGAACAAGGAGAGGATATGTCCCCCTAGCTTTTCCATGTCTGGTATACATTTATGAGTTTATGCATTTATAATCTGTTACACATTTATTAATTATAGCTATGATAAATACTATTGTAGAAAATATATAATATTATGCTAAGTAAACTTACATATAGCATTTAATAGGTTAACAAGAAGGTAAATAATATTGAAAAAATACAGTGTCTCCTACCCCTGGATTTTCGAAGATGGACGCTCTTGCTGCCGTACATTACAAAAACTATTGGTATACCATTGCTAGTATCTATATAATAACCTAACTAAATCAAATAATGCTGAACCTACTAAGTGGGTGTGACGAAGTCAGGCCGGCCTTGTAACAATTGTTGGTGACGTTCATCAGAATTACCGTGTTTTCCATGGCCCTGATGTTGGTTTCCAACTTTTGCACCCGTTCGTCCAATTCGTCTCCCACGTCCTGCAACTCGAGTTTTTCCTGGGCCAGTCTGATCCTATGCTCACTCAACGTAAACGACGTCTGATCTTCGTCACCGTCATCACCACAGATAGAGTTCGAGTTGCCCATCGTTGCTGTCAATATTTCGTACTTATTCTTCCGCTGTTCGATGTACTGGGTCAGTGCGTCCAACTTTCGTTTTGCCGACGATTTTTCTTCAGACAACAATTTTCTCTCGACACTTATGCGCTCGAACGTGTCGGCCACGTCAGCCTTCCTCCTATTTATATCCTATAGTAATGTACTTACATATTTTAGAGTAGTGGCACAAAGTATTTTTAAATAATGGGTGGGTTAATTTTTAATTGTTGAAAGGTATAATAAATTAACATAAACTAATATACCTATGGTGGGGAAAGGATGGACTTCAGCCAGAAAAGTTCATCTGCAGTTATATTATAATATTATGTACTATTTCGTGATTGTACGCTTTTCCTACACTACATCGGGAAACTTACCGCATTTATTTCATCTCGTTGTTGAGCTAACGAATACACTTTTTCACATTCATTGTCCATCATTTTCTTTATCTGTTCCACTTTGAACTTCATCATTCTATCCTCAATACGGTTCCGGTTACACTGTTCTTCCAACAATTGAATTTGTTTTTCTCCTATATTTGAAAAATAAACATCGAATAGGTGTTCCGTTATTATAATATAAACTATACGATAATATTGTTATCGATACAATCATGTCAAACCTCCTTCGTTGCGTATGCTGAGCTCTTCTACCCGGTTTTTGTATCTTCCCAATTCAACTGCGTTTTTCTCGATCTCTTTGGTAATTCTCCGAGATTCGCTCTAAAACGATTTGGTTATGTGATTTTGCATACATGCATATATAATAACTACACTTTAATATAATATTTTATAGACACTTACTTCAGCCGATTTTAACTGTTTTTTTAGTTGACTTTGTTCGTTTATGGTCTGAGTTAATTCGTTGTTGACAGTTTGTAGCACTTCTTGTAATTCTTCCATCTCCTTTACATCCACGGTTCCTTTAGCTTCTGACATTTTTGTACGTATAGTTTCTAATCTATAACTCTAAATATAATTATCATGTTAAAATGTTATCATATTTACCAATTTTTAATCTTCACCAAATTATACGATTCTTCTTTATTCTTCATAATTGATTCTTTCATTCTTAATTCTTCTTTACTCAATTCCATTTGTTCCTTACGGTTTAGGTGTAACTGGTTTGTCAACAGATCAATTTTACTTTGCAATTGTGTTATTTCAATTTTTACGTTAAACACCATATTCAGCACTTTGTTTTTTTCAGACTGAAGTTGTTCTGTTGTTACTTTATGATTCTAAAATAAAAAAAAATAATCAATAACTAATAAATTTAATTTTCACCATTCCATTATCCAATTTATAAATACTTCTTGAATTTTATATAATTCGTTTATTTTTTCTTCTTGGGTCATTGATTTATTCTTTATTTTCAAAATGTCCTCTATTAATTTTGCTATATCTTTATCTTTTTGTTGTATCTGTATTTTCAATTTTTCCTGTTCATTTTGCATATGCTTACGTTTCGTGCGCTCGTTGGCTAATTTGTTATCCAAAACATTAAGTGCTATTTGCGCTGTTAACACCTGTGAAAATTATTTCCGTATTACTGATTTAACAAAAATCTATTGATGTATTTTAATAACAAACCTGGGATTGTATTATATCGTTTTTTGCAAGCTGATTAAAGTTCGATAATTTTAAATCATTATTAATTTTTTGAACTTTGCCGATTTCATATTCTAGTTCTTCATTAGCATCTAAGTAATTTTGATACTTTAGTTTAATTTCTGTCATGTTATCATACATTTCTCGAGATTCTTGATTTATTTTATTGATTTTCTGTGATTTCAATATTATTTTTTTGTTTTATTTTTAACGAGTTTATTCTTTTATAATAAATTAAAATTTATATTAACTTGTACAAGATTCCGTGTTTCTTTTTGGTTAGAGTCTAAAAATTTTGCTGCATTCTCCCAATGTTCAATAAGACGATTTCTTTCGTTTTGTGCTCGTCTAGTTAGTGAAATAGTTTGTTCTAATTCTCTTTCAATCCGATAGAACTCAGTAATTTCTTGTTCCACAATAGATTCTTTTTCTAACACCATTCGTTGAAGGCATTGTCTTTGTATTTCTAAATTCTACAAATAGATTATTTTCTCACACAAACAAAATTAATATTTAAATATAGTTATTTTAACTTGTAGTAGTTCAGTAAGTAATTACTTTAAACACGTGGTTTTCCTCCAAATTGTATGTTTCAAGAATATTAATATTTGTATCTTGTTTGGCCAAGTCGTTGTTCCACGCTAAAAGAGTTTCTTCGCCCCATTCGATGGTTTCTCTCAATTTATTTATTTGCTCATCGTTTTGTGTCAACTCATTCTACTCGTATTAATATATTGTAGAGTTTATAAGTACATAATAAATATATTTTATCGTGTATCACTTACTTCCAATTTAGTTTGATCATCAATAAATTCGTTTAACTGTTTTGCAGCCGTTTTATTTTCTCGGGATAAATTTTCATTTTCTCTTTGAGCTACCATTAAACGCTGTTCTTCCATTTCATATTGTTTACGATTGGCTACGACCAATTTCTATTTACAAAGATGTAATTAAATTAAGAACTAAGAAAACTTAAACTTTTACGGTTTATTAGGTAGGTACTTGATTTTGTGCTTCTTGAGTTGATAAGTTTTTTATTGTATTTTTATTTTCTAGTAAATCATCATCTAATGACTCATCAAGTAGTAACAACTTGGCTTTTTTTTTCAATAATTCTTTAATCTGTAATTATATTATACTTTTGACTTTCATATAAAGTTTTACAGCATATCAAGATATGTATGTATATATGACAAACTGTGTTCACGAGTATGAGAATAACTGTATAGTTTACTTGAAGTATATTTATTGTAAACCCATTTCATAATTAAGTAGATCTAATATTTTATAAAATATATTGGATTTTAAAATATTATTAAGAATAACGTAAAATAAACGATGCCCTGCAGTAAAGTGAACTATGATAGTTCATTATATTTTTTAATAATTCATACATGTATAATAATAGGATAGTGCCCTTATATCTTAACTCTTTAATTTTTAATTTCTTAAGTTAGTAATTTTAGTTCATAATTGCTCACCTCTTTCCTGTGCCCCTGTAGGATTGAAAAATGGTCATTGAGACTAACTAGGTTTACTGTTTTTTCAATGTAATTTAAAAACTGTAGCATTTAGAATAAAAAATCGCTTAATTGTAGAAATTATCTATACCTACAGTTGTAAAACTGTGGTACGTAGTATACAAAAGGTGGTATGTAGTATGGGGAAATCAATATTACTAATAGTACTAATATTTTTAACGGATCTAATACTATTTTATATATTGTATACATTTTGTTTAAAAATTAAAAAAATACTTTATAAATAATTATATTTTAGTATTATAGTGTCCTTTTATTTTTAAATAAATCTATTGAAACTTTGATTAGATCAATTTTTAGTCATAAGTGACTTGACAGATCCATAATACATATAAATGGTACGCGAAAATAAAAAGTTTAAGAACCTCTGGTTTATATAAATGTCTGTACACTGTACTATATAATTTATTGCAAGTCCACTTTTTTCTAAGCAAAACAATTAATTACAACATATTTTAGTAACTGGTGTATAATAACGATAAGTAATTTAAATTTTATGTAAGTATATTCCACCGAATTTAACCTACTTCATTTTCAATCAATTTGTTTTCTTCATTGGCTATCGGTAAGTGAAAACCGTCACCACAACCAATTTCTTTCATTATATCCGTATAGCTGTCTGCCATTTTGAGAACTCAAAACTAATTAAATTTAGTAAAATAAACTAATAAAAATATTAGTTACAAAAAAAATACAATTACTTATAATATACTCGTTTAATCAAACATCATAGAAAAGAAAAAAAATACTTAAGTCTTAAATGATCAGTTGTTATGGTGACGCTAACGTGTAAATATATGAGTTAACAGCCAACTTACCTAATGGTATAGTAGTGTATCGGTATGGTATACCTACTTGAGCAGTTTACACCACAAAACTCATCAAGGCAATGATAGCGTATTTACATATCACGTTTTCAGTAAATTGTACACCGTTTTATATTTTTACTGCTTATTTTATTTTTAGAGAAGTAGTCAATCAAGAGTTACAACTTTCGGGTCATTACCGAGAGCACCGTCAACTAAAAACTTTTTAGATTTTGAGCTGAGTAATGTATTAGTTTTCCCATGAGTACGATTTTTAATTTTAGATTCTAAGCATAGCGAAGAATATATCATGGTTTTACATGCTGTTTTTTTTTTTTAGATGCTGAGTATGGCGATTTTCAATCTATTTAAGTAGGTAGCATTTGACATTTTCTAGTTTTTTTTTTTCTGGTTTTTATTTAATAGGTATAAATGTTTTATATGAAAAAAAATGGAGACTAATTTAGTATTATTATTATTTTTTGTTAAACACGTCTTAAGTTCAAATTTAGAAGTAAATCGTAAAAATTATGGTTTTTCAAAACAGGTTTACCCGAATTCGTTCAGAAACGTATTTCTTTAACAATAATTTATAATTTCGTATGGATATAAATAAAATAACATATAAATATGTAACTTATTTTGCCAACTTATTTTAATTATTGAACACTAACAAATTAGGAGGTTAGGTACGAATCGAAAAATGAATTTAATAAAACTGTATTTTTCAAGAAAGTATTTCTTAGAAATTAAATTTTGATAAGCATTTAAAATGTGAAAAAACCATTTAATTTATTTAAAAAGCAATTACAACATTTACTAAAAAATGAAATAGATTTCAGTTGATTTAATGGACTTAACTAGTTTGTATTTAAAAAAAATCATTACCATGTACTTAAATAAATTGTTTTCAGTAAAACGTTGACGGTTTGGGCTATCTATTTTGAATCCTCTAAAAAATCCCCTATCAAACCAACAATATCCAATATTTCAATATGAATTTATATGTGTTAAGCGATATTATATACCTATCGCAATATCTCCTAATACATAAAGATAATCAAATCATCATTTGTTTTTAATATTACTCACAGAGATAAGGACTATAAATATTTATATTTGAATTAAATTTGTAATAAAATAAAAAATAATAACTTAAACAATTTTAAGATAGTTATTTTATTCTTCTGAGAATGTTGACTTTTCAATTTTTTATTTTAATTTATGTTGTGATTTTTAATAATTTGTTTAAGTTCAGAGTAAAAATAGTCTACAATCAATTATCGTAATAATAATAGTCAATTAGCAAATGCGATTTTCTCTTCGATATCTGTTTTCATACTATGATATTATTGTAATAATACAGGTAAAAAAGACGTCCTAGGATAATGGGATAATGGGATAATGGGACGGATGCAGCCACTGTTATAGGTAATTTGATGTATATCTGTAAGCAACTATAAACCATTGCTAACGAAAAAAACGATTCTGAACGCAGTTCAGTTGATAGTGATGTTTTGTCAACAATATGTTATTTGTCAATATGTCATATTGTGGTAAAATAATTAAATAGGCATTATACATTTTCTTTAATAATATTTATTTAATAATTTACCGATTTTTCCGTTTTTCCTGGTTTTTCACATTTCCTGGAAAAACTCTTGGGAAAATGACCTCTCTAAAGTTCCCAGTCAGATTTACTTTTAGGAAAAGTGCTATCATTTTAAATTGGAGCGAAATTGCTAGAAGTAAAGTTGTACACAGAAAAAAAAGCCCATAATATTGTTTTACTAATATCTAAATTTCGTACATTTTCCGTTTTTCTGACATTTTATCCCGGTTTTTCCCAAATATCATGAAAACTGATTGAAAAATCAAAAAATGACCCCCTTAAGTTACCATAGAGGTAAAATTTAATTTCATAAAATAAGCTACACTTGATACACTGGAGCAAAATTTCTGGTAGAAAATAGTAAACGCTCCAAATCTAATACATCCATCATCTTCGATATAATATAATATAATAATTGAAATTTTACAGTTTTTGGAAGAAAAATTTAACTTACAAGAGAGGCATTTGCCCACCCTGCCTTCTTCCCTCCCACGTGTGCACACCTTTGTATATTGTTGACAAAGCAACACTATTAACCGAATTTCCTTTAGAATCATTTTTCATTAGCAATGGTTTATCATTGCGTATTAATATACTTTTAATTTCCTCCCTACCTTCCCAACTTCACACCTATAGTGGCTCACCTATAGCGCGAAGTATGTCCATCTTTTTTTAAAGGATAATATCATTGAGAAATAATATTTCTGGAAAGTTTATGTTTCTTTTTAGTAATTATTATTAGACAAATGGTACTTAATATTGATTATAATTATCGCAAGTCAATGTGTTTTTTTTAAATATCATGGGTTAAGTCTGTATAAAATAAAATATAGATATCATATCATCTCCCTCTTTTTAAAGTTCTGAGCGTGACGAAAAATATATTGGTTTTATTATGATGCGTACTTTTAGATTCTGAGTGTAGCAAAGAATGTATTATATGTACAAAGATATTTATTTTCTAATTTTTGTATAGTGCTTACAAAAATTCTACCAGAAATCTAGCTCCGAAGTATCAAGTAAAGCACCTTTTCTGAAAGATAATTTTCTCGAGGTAGTACTTTAGGGAGGTCACTTTTTGATTTTTCCAAGAGTTTTTCCAATAAATGGGAAAAACAGAAAAACCTTAGGAAAAACGGGAAAATGTACGAAATATATAATTTGGACCTACTAGATTCAAAATGTAACAAAAATAATTTTTTTATTGGAGAATGATTTTTGGTGAAAAAGCCATTGACAAATACAAAAAAATAAAATAAAACACACACAAGCTATCTCACAAAGATATACCCCTTGAATGTCTCTAGAGATAATAAAGATAATCAAATTCTGATTTTTTAATATTACTTTTTACTAATTTTGAATTAAATTTTTTTTTTGGTAAACTTTTTATTTTATTATTTTTGGAAAATTGTATAATACCTAGCTATTCTGCAGAAATTATTTTTCTGAACATTTTAATGTATCACACATTTATATCTGTTGAATAGTTTCTAAGTAACAGGCATTTTAAATTCTACTAATCCGTCTGAAAACCGATGTTATCGCATAACGCGGTTATGTTATTCCCTAGATACGAAAAAAAAAAAAATTAAAAAAATAAATATTTGTAGTTTTTTCATCATCCCTGTAAGTAATATAAAAAAACAGAATTTGATTATCTCTATTATCTCCGGAGATATTGAAGGCGTATATTTTCGTGGGACAGACTTTATATCATAGTAAAATTAATACATTCCTTGCTACGCTCAGAATCTAAAAGTAAGAACCTGAAATTGTCGTTTTAATAAGTGAATTTAGTTTGCTTACAGTTTGTTACTTGTTTGTAATATCGCCAAAGCGATTTGTTTACTGTACAGTATTTTACCAATGGATAAACATTAACCTGTAACCGAAGACAGTAAAAGTATGTTTTAATTCTTTGCTGATTCTGGAAACCTGATTGCTAAAAAATGCATTTAATTGTCTGACAATTGAAATAAACTGTAATATCGCCAAAACAGTTTGTTTGCTAAACCAATACCATGGCTGTTTAAATTGCATTATCAAAACATGGCCAATAGAAATAAATAAAATATAAAATATTTTAATATAGATAGGTGAAATTATATTATTATTAAAGGAGTCAGTTACATTAGTAAGGATTTATGTGGGTATAATAATAGATAATATAATCCTATGAACTAAAGTTTTATAATAAAAATAATTTTATTTTCACAATACAAAAAAAAAAAATTGAAAGTATAGGTATAGATAGGTATATACGTATGTCGTATATAAATAACAATATAACAAAGTGCGTTTAAAACATGGTTTATATATTGTTGATCGACTTTAATTACAATTAAATTATTATTGTACCTTAATTTATATAAACTATAATATCAAGTATGATGTTATTTAATATTACAAACATGTTTGTGTATAAATACAAGACTTAAAAAGTATAATTATAATTTATGAATTTACGGAAATTTGACAAATACAATTAATAATAGAATAATAAAGTAAAACCAAAACTATTAAATGGTTAATACTCGTTAAAAAATGTACAAATAATTTATAATATAAATTATGTAGAAATAAATGAATAATGCGTCGCGTGCAGTACTATGATATGTATATTGTATAACCGGTTTCGAATAAAAAATTCATCACTAGATAAAACACTAAGTCAAAAAGTAAACGCGACTCTTGGCGACGCATTCATTTTTTTCTTTATATATTTAAATACAATAACTATTTTGTTTTGTTCGATATGCTTAATTTTTTTTTTTAAATAATTTACAAATGCTCACTATAATTTTAAAGGATTCAATTTTTAAAATGTTATTAACTTAAATAAACAAATTCAAGTATAATTAATAAATAATAATTAAGTCGGTAATAACCAATATTATCATATTAATTTACTTTTCTGTAGAGAAATAAATTTATATTATTTAATAATAAGTTACCATTAAAATAATTATGAATTTCAAAAAAATTAATATTGTAAAACAGATTCATATATTTATGTATGCATAATATATATATATATATATATAATATTATCAGATCTCCGAGATTGACCCTGAATAAAGTTACATATTTTGTTCATTTAAAGTGACTATAATACAAAATTATTGTCGAATTTTCCCCAAAAATAGAGACTATTGCATTTTATTTTATGTCTGATATAAATATATATTATTCCCCTACAACTTTTGGACACTTCTCCACGTGGCTCCCTTCGGAAAAAGTTAGTTCAAACCCGGGAGTAATTAAATAATATTTAATAATTAATAATTAAATCGTTTTTTCACTGAATTTCAATATGAACTTTACCGTGTTTTGTTGTGACATGAGGATGTTCTTTTAAATTTAAATACCCCAACAGACCTTCAAATAAAGCCAGGGGTGACATTCGTATATGTATGGCCTTAGTACCAAGGATATGCCATTTTTTGGGAGTTTTATTATTATTATTATTATTATTATTTTTTTATCAGAATCATAATTGTATAATATATTTACAAATAATATTTCTGTAATACAACATTGCAAAATAGGATAATGAAAATTCAACTCTATAGTGACATAGTTATATTATATATTATTCTTATCGGAACACTAATGAAAAACAAATAACTAAACGAATTAATGTAATCATTATATTTCATACGTACAAATACAATATACCTAAAATTGTATTAATCTCGTATGTATATTATGAATTTATACCTCACTGCATTGACCCTGTAGTTTGTCGTCGGTATTCGGTTTTCGTGTTGTGGTTCTTTTGCGAAGTTTAATCTTAAGCGCCCGTCCCTCAATCGCGTACAATATCCCGCCGACCCAAAGGGCGATGGTACCTGCGACACCTACTCCGTAGCTCCATCCGATGTGATTGTGTCGCCAATCCGGCATCCACGTTCTGTCAACCCCGTGTATTCCGAATATCACTAAAGCGACGGTACCAAATACGGCGGATATGATATAAACCACACCGGTTCTGAACGCCGTTTTTACGCGATGGCCGTCGACCCACGCCGGACTGCTGAGTTTCACGTAACATTTGGTGTGATACAACCCGACCAACGCGGACAGGACGCAAACGGTAAACCAAAACTGAGTGTAATGGTAAAAACGATTATTGCCAAACAAAATATCGTGTATAATGTAATATTGTTTTCCAAACACAGATCGACAACTGTTGATGAGTTTCACGTCGTACCAACGATGTGAATCCTCCAGGTTTTTGAAACAAACCACCCACAGACCGATCCGGTCGAATTTCCGGCCGGATTTGTCGGTGACCAACCAGTTCTCCGTCGCAAACGCCACCAAGGCCAATAACGTACCCAAAACCGACAGGTAGGACGCTATTAGACCGTTCTTAGACACGGCCATAATGTAATGAAATAGGTATACCTGTCTTACGTTATGTTTACACCTTTGCTGGTTCGTCGAAACGTGGAAAATTACAATAAGGCCGCGGGAACGTGTTCGATGTATACCTACTCGTGGAGACTGCCGCACGATCACTGTGCACTTATGTGTCGTGTAGCTACGACGTTACGGACGATGTATAAGAAAAAAAAAATAGTTGTTCAGTAAAACACCACCACCGGGTGTTGTTTTTAACGATGGCCGGGTTACTATCTCCCACTACTTTACTGCCCTGAGTATCAAACATCACGTGATGTAATGGTGACACAAACGGGAACTGCCGAACAGGTAGGCCTGTAAACCCGATTTCCATATAATATTATAATCCGGCTGTCGGCTCGTAATTTATTATCCATTAAGCATACCTACGTATACGATAGTAATATTTCGATGATTTTAAACTTGTACTTATAAAAACATTAGCATGATTTCACTATAGACGATAAGTAAAAACGAATAGAAATTTAAAAAAAAATACAAACCAAAAATTCCTCCATAAAAAATGATTCGATAAACGTGTGTATGGTTATTTTATAATTATTTTTTATATTTTGAGCGAAGGTATTGTGGGGAATGTATTGAAATTAGTGTGCTTGGTTTTTTGTTTGTAAACAACTTTTCTACCAGAAATCTAATTCCAATCAAAAATTGTGTAGGAATTTTCTTATAGTATTTAGTTAGTGCAGTGAGGAGATCATTTTTTAATTTCCCTTGTAGTTTTCTCAATAAATGGGGAAAACCAGAAATTGTTTGTATAATATTTGTTGATTTTTAGATTACTTTGAATGGAAAATGTATGACTAATAATACTCAGAATAATTTTTAATTAGCATTTATTTAAAAATTTAAATAGGATAATGGAAAGTAGGTAGGTATTTAATTGTTCACAGCTTATTGACCTAAAATATTCGTCCATAAAAACGGCCGGATTCCGGCACAGATGGGGTCGGCACATTTACGGTCAGGACCTTTTTGATGGCACTTGTGGTCACTTTTTACCTACTCTGTTTTTTCACGATACATTACACAAATATTCGTTTTTGTATATATATATTTCATATATTAAAATAGATTTAATTTTTAATTTTAAATGTTACTTAACTAGAGTGAATTAAAACTGTTTGTCGTTTATTTTATTTTTATTACATAGGTAGGTACACGTTTCGATATAACAATGTTAATACGTCAATAAACGTATACGACGTTATTAATGCGTTAATAATTATTATATTTTACGTTAAAATTTTACGCAAGTTGTGTTTTTCAATAAAAAAAGTCTTACTTTGTGGACAAAAATAACAATTTGAGATCAATGTAGTATTTTTTTTTTTTTTATTATAAAAGAATTTTTACATCAAATTTTGATGAAAATCGTTTGAGTAAAAAATTATGTGGAAATTAGAATTTTTAAATTTTTGTTTTTAACATATGTATATTGCTGGTTTAAGAACGACGGTGAAATCAAAATTGAGCGGACTAAGTTTCAAAATTATAGCTTTTTGAAATTCTGATCTTATGCGGATATTATATCTTATATTAAATAAATATATTTTTTCTTTTAAAGAATATTTGTCGTGATCTAATGGTTATATATGCCTATTATCATACTGGGGGTTCTGAGTTCAAACTTAGGTCCTGAACCGCGTAAGGTATACATTTATGTATTTAAAATATTAAAGTAATTTTACCCGATGTTATATATTGTTTGACCTGAAAAATGACAGTGGCATGAGTATTACTAATTATTATAGTCTGCATATTTTAGATTCGGAGCGTAGCAAGTAATTTAATAATCTCTATTCATTCTGCCTATTAAGGAAATTTTATCTAGTTGGCTCATTAGAGAAGTCAACAGTATAATCGAATTATTTTCAAACATTTATGTAACACTAAAAATTGTATTAACAGAGAAAGATTTAAGCAAATTAAAAATGGAAAAATAGTAAAATAATATTCGTGATCACTAATCTCTCAGACTACCTATCTTTTAGTAAGGTTATACATAAAAAATAGTCCTAGGATAATAAGGGCAGGTGTAGCCACTGTTATAGATAATTTAATGTATACCTGTAAGCAACGATAAACCATTTCTTACGAAAAAACGATTCTGAGTGGAGTTTAGTTGATAATGATATTTTATTAACAATGTATAAATGCCATATTATAGTCAAATAACTAAATAAGCTCTACATATTTTCTTTGATAATATTTGTTTAATGATATTCCGATTTCCTCGGTTTTTCTGGTTTCCTCAGTTTTTTTCAGTTTTTCACATTTATTGAGAAAACTCCGACAGAAATCTAAAAATAGCCTTTTTTAAGTACCTCCCTAGTGAAATTTCCTTTCAAAAAATTGCTATCATTATAAATTGGAGCAAAATTGTTGGTAGAAAAGTTATCCACAGAGAAAAAAAATTAAATATTACACAAATATATTTAGTACATTTTCCCGTTTTTTTTTCGGTTTTTTGCATTTGATGAGAAAATCGAAAAATAAGGTATAAGGTACCTCCTTACACTAATTTCCTTTCAGAAAAGTTGCTACACGTAAAAATCGGAGCAAGTCCACTGGTAGAAAAGTTGTCTACAGAAAAAAAAAATAATAACAAATAAACATCTTTGTGAAACCATAAGTTTCTTCGTTCCACTCTGAATCTGAAATACGTTTTTAATTTAGTATTTTAGTTAGGTACAGTTGATGTCTAACATGAATTCCAAGTTTGCGGTCAAGGCCAACCAGTCAAATAGCCGACCGACATTAGTATTCATATACACACGCGCACAACCGAACAGTATTGTTTAAATATATAAGTATAACTATTAAAACAGTAATCGTAGTACAGTAACGTAAGATTGGAAAAAGTTGGTGGTATCCGGTGATTACCGCCTGATTAAAATAACGAAATAGTAATGTCAAAAATAATATAAGTAAGTTGTGTACGCATTAGAGGCTTGTACCGGCCGACAATTCTTGACCTGGTCCGGGCCAGCCAGATTGTATAATAATCCGATTCGGCGCGATTCTTTTGTTTATATAATATAAAAGCCCAGTCCGGCCCGAATTTGTCCGTACTATTTTCGAATAACTGTACCACGCAGACGGTCGTATCCCCGTAGGACTGCTGGTATTAAGTTGAAAATAAAAATGTTAGAAATAGTTAGCATAATTTTGTAACAAAAAGCCCTGCTTAGCCCGGATTTTAATTTAAAGACCCCAGCCTGGCCTTTGTAGGTCTTTAGTACGTATATTATAAATAATTTGTACCTATGCGTTTTGTTGCGTTTTCATTTTGTTTAACCGAAGACTGGAATCAATGACGTAATTGAGAATGTTCTAAAGGGGGAGAGATATCAAAATAAATCTTTATGGCAATCTCATGAAAGATTAGCCTCACACAACCCCACGCCCCCTTACAAACATTTAATAACTCATTAACTAGCCTGGAAAGTTATAGCACCAATAAAGTCAATTTTTAACGCATAAATATGCACTTAGGAACACTAAAGTTAGCGCTATAAATAGCACTTACAATTGAAAAATATGCTAATTATCAACAAACATTTTTTTATTAATTAATTTTTAGATTTTTTTAAATTATACAAGTTTTAAATAAAATATAGTGGTAGGTATTTGAGAAATAGATACTTCGTCCGGTTTATTTTTAATATTTCTCCTCAATATGCACCTTTATCACATTTAACATGTTAAAACTTATAAATTATAATTATAATTCAAATGTTTTGTATTTGTTGTTTGTTACGTCGCGTTAACTAAAAAACAATTACATTTTGGAGTAAAAAGTATTAATTATTTAATATTTAAATAAGTCTTCATAGCCCAATCAATAGAAGGTTGTACTTTGCAAAAAATACTAAAGTTTTGAAACTTATCAAAAATATTCGTATTAGGGCCCTGATTAGCCAAAAACCATTATGCCATGCCTCCGAGGTCCGCAAGTGTCCGCTATCTTGGATTATAGGCTAACATAAGTTTTTTATTAACAATATTTTTAAAAAGACGTACTAGAGTAATAGATACGAAAGCAGCAACTGGTATAGGTAATTTAATGTATATCTGTAACCAACGATAAACTATTGCTTACGAAAAAGCTATTCTGAGCGGAGTTCAGTTGACAGTGATGCTTTTAAAACAATATATATATATATGTCATATTATGGTGGAATAATTAAATAGGCATTATATATTTTCTTTAATAATATTTGTTTAATATTGTATCGATTTTCCCGTTTTTTCTTCTTTTTTTCGGTTTTCCCGTGTTCTTTCCCTGATTATCACATTTTTTAAGAAAACGCATGGAAAAATTAAAAAATAACCTCCTTAAAGTACCTTCCCAATCAAATTTACTTTCAGAAAAAGTACTATTATTGCAAATCGAAGCAAAATTGCTGGTAGAAAAGTTGTTCATAGAAAAAAAAACCATAATATTTTCTTACTAACCGATATTTCGTATATTTTTCATTTTTCCGACATTTTATCACGGTTTTTCCCAGTTATTATGAAAACCGATTGATAAATCACAAAAATGACCTCCCTAAACTACGGAGATAATATTTCCTTTCAAAAAATAAGCTACACTTGATACATAGGAGCAAGATTTCTAGTAGAAAAATTAGCACAACAAATCGAGAGGTTGTTTTCGATTAAAATAGTCTAAGCGAGAAATAGCTAGGTCTCTAGGCACACTTAAAATGCTTTTATTTTTTTCCCATTTAGATGAAATGGAAATAAAAGCACAAAAAATGTTCTCCCATCAAACCCTGGGTTTAAACCCACGATCCATAAAAAAATTGAAAAATTAGATTTGTTTCACATAATTTTTTACTCAAACAATTTGCATCAAAATGTTGCATCAAAATTGCTTTATAAAAACAAATACTGCATTCAATTTTTTTTTTACCACAATTTAAGATTTAATAAATCTCCTGTTAAATTTCCAAGCA